CTACATGAATCTTCACCGATCCATATCGCTCTATTTAAGCTCATCTCAGTCTAATATAACACAAAAAAATTCAATATGTAGTATATGCATACAAGTTCAAGAAGTTTTAAAGCTCACCTGTATGCCCTTTTCAGATGCAGAAATAATAGTTTCTCAAGCAAATTTTTGAATGGCTTATAGTTGTTGATGTAATATTATTGGCTTTATCTAAAAAAGAAAACTGTTTTTAGAATTAAAAAATTAGCCACTAGTGATTCTTTTATTCTTTAAAAAAATAAAAAGAGCAAATTGGTCGAAAAAGTCTTGCTAAAAATATTATTTTAGTTTCTATGAATTTTATATCTAAATAATAAAATCTTTAAAAAGAGTTTACGTGGTACGATGATTTTATGATAGGTCAATAAATCTGCAAGCGCTTAATTATTTGATATGATACTTATATTATTCTAATAGTTTAAGAAAATTTTAATTTAATTACATAAAAAAAATTATATATATAGCCAATGTCGGAGCTTCATCTTTTGTGAAAAATTATATTATTTTTATATGATTAAAATAATTTTTTAGATATATATAGTAGATATCGAACCCACTTCAGTTATTCAGTATGTCTATTTTTTTAAATTTTAAACTTTTTTATCAAAAATTATAATTATGTCTCTATTAATAGCTACTTTAAAAAGAGCTTTTCAAGCGTAATATTCATGCAAGCATATCATATTCCTCTACAAATATTTTAACCTGGATTTTGCAAAATTATGATAAATTATGAGGATTTAAACCTATTTATTAAATTTTTATTTTTTTTAATTTAAGATTTCAAAAGGTATAGGAATCTACTTTAATATAAAAAGAAAAACTTACACATGAAATATAATTCTTTTTTTTAGTAAAATTGAAATATAATTCTTAAAATATATTTTTATTATTTGGGTGCACATGGTTTCTTGGGAGTTAACCATGTGGTCATGTGTAAGCCACAAAATGTTGATGGAACTATTAGTTATTCGAAATTCAGAATCAATGATTTAGTTAATTTAAATTTATATTATACAAAATTTGTAAAAAAGAAATATTTTGTTATATCAAGATTTTCTTTTAGAAAAATTGAATATGAGACGATTTAGTGGAGAAGTTTATCTATTTCATTTCATCTTATATTGACTAGTTAAAATTAATTATTTATTATTAATTTTTTTTAAAAAAAGAAAATCACTTAACTCCGTATTAGAGGCTTAAATCTCATAGCAAGTTTATTTTATTTATTTTTAAATTTAATATCTGAAATACATTTTAAAACTTAATTAGTTTTATGTTACGATGAGAATTTAAAATGAGTAGAAAAACATTAGATATCTTCTATTCAGAATCCGATTTCACATTTCATACTATTTTTCTTATTTTTTTCATTTTTACTTTATTTTTTCTTGTGTTTTTGAGACTACATGATTATATAATTTGTTCATAACTTAATTTCTGGTAAAAATAAATTAGTCGTTCATATATTTAAATGTGTCTTTTTAATTACTCTCAAGTTAAAAAAAAAAAAATTTCGTTCGTGTTATTGTAGCTCTAAATTTTCGGTCTAATTGACCCATATTAAAATCGTTTTTATAATAATCATGGTATTCACAATTATCATATATTTAACTAATTTTACAAACAATTTTATCAATTTTCGATCAACAATCACTAAGATAAATGCAAAAAGATACTCAAATATTTTTTATTTGGATTAAAATTTAAACCACAGCTCGGTGGGTAAATGTGCCTATTGAGTCATTTTGTAGCCACAAATTAAATTGACACTTCTCCTCTCTGTTATCCTTCCCATTTTCAAGATTTCTCTTTTCACAGTTCATCTTGTTGTTATGTTTCACAAAAACAAAAAACAATTTGTGTACAAAATGTTGTAGCTCTTTATGAGACCTTAATAAACTCAGTTTAGAACAAAAAGATGAATTTAGCTACTACAATGTCAGCATCAGTTTTAAATTACCAAATCTTGAAATTTTTCCCACCACAGAAAAATGGGTTCTTGAGATCTCCATTGATTAGAGGAAAAAGTTGCAGATTTTGTGTTTCTGCAAGTTCAAATGAGTTGAATAAACAAGTAATTGAAGACCCAAAAGAGGAGATTCAAGTAAAAAGTGATGGGGTTATTGTTAATAGTACTGAGGAGGATGAGGAAGAAAGAAGTGGGGAAAATTCTACTTCTACTGGTCCTAGTACTGTTCTTGATAATAAGGAACTCAAAAAGGTGAGATTTTTATGTATTCTTTAACTCAGTTTTATCCAATTTTTTTGATATGCTGTTATGTATTGTCTGGTTTTGTCTTGATTCGTAGTTTAAGAAAATAAAGAAAGAATTTTGAATGCTGTGGCCTTAAATGAAAGATACGTGGAATGTATCAAAATGTTATCTCGTAGTTTTAAACATGTTTGGTGTCAAAAAAGTTGAGTGACATTGTTTTTGAAGCAAACTAAAAAGGGAAGTAAGACGAGCAGATTGAAACGGAGGGAGTACTTGCAAGCATGATCTTTTATTAGAAAGGAGCATACTTTAATTAATAGCACCAAGCAATGCTCATATTAAGGAAGCATTACTTCAAAGGTGGAAGGAACTAATGAAATTTCTTTCAAGCATGGCTCTTTAATCAGTCTAACTGTAGTAGAGTAGTCTATCTGATCTCGTAACGGGTGGACAGATAGAAATGCCTACAGATGAGGTATGCGAGGGTAGCTTGCCGGAAAACGGCATGTATGGTAGTCTTTTGTTGGATGATAATGGGACGGGCAATTAACTGCAACCTTTTTCTGCTTATTGGCTATTGGGGGATGGGGTGGGGGGTAATTGGAGGAAGAGAACAGGGCAAAGCAAAGGGCAGAGATTCAAGTGACAATTGTCAGTACTGTCGAAGAGGAAATATAAAGATCACTCAAAGTTTATGGAATGCTTGAAGTAAGTTTGCTGTGTGAAAATAGTCTAATTACAGTGATTCGTTTGAAAGATACAAAGCTAGATTTTGGAGTTGACTTAGTCGCAAGGTCCATTTCCTAATAACTAGAATTAGCATAAAGAGAGGTCCAATAGTATGAATCGTAGATTTTGCATGAGCGTTCATCATTGAGGACGCTTTCTAAAATTACGACGAACAACAGCAAACGCTCCTCAGTTGCGAACAAGTTGGGGTCGGCTAAATGAATCCTTACTTTCAGTTAAACTCATTTTAAAATAGCTGTATAATTTACATTTTAAATTTTCTGTATACATGGGAAAATATAATTGACTAATTATATGAGTGTTAACTTCAAAATACTCTCTTCCAGGCTGTCCTAAAAACTGCTTCAACCTTTGCACCAAGGGCTTCCACTGCTACGAAAAACCCTGCGAAACCTGGAACTGTTTTATACACTGTTTTTGAAGTGCAAGCCTATGCTTCAATGTTGATAGGTGGAGCTCTGTCCTTCAATCTCATATTTCCGTCAACTGAACCTGACATCTGGAGACTAATGGGAATGTGGTCCATATGGATGTTTAGTAAGTAATGTTGCTTTATACAACTAAACCTTGCCTCCGAAATAGTAGAACACATAAGAATATTTCTTATGAGTTATGAGTGATATTAAGCTACTTTGAAGTAGACATATCTTGTTCATCTGTCCGTTAATTCATTTCGTTTTCCTTCCGTTGTTCTCTGTCGGAGGACTATAATCGGAAGTTCCATTTTCAGCTTTAGTTGGTCTCTATTTGATATCTGATGTTACTTTCTTCAGATAGTAAATGGTGTCCAACATTTTATGTTATTTTAAACTCTAGTATCGATTGTGAATGCCAAAGTAAACTCTATCATAAAGTGGTATAAGTTTTTTTTTTTTGGTTAATAAAGAGGTATAAGTTGATGTAATGTAATTCATATTTGTACCCTTGCTACTATTCCCTCAATTTAGCAATAAATTGTAACTCAAATGTTAATTTCTGTTGTTGCAGCTATACCTTCCCTTCGGGCTCGAGACTGCTCGAAGGATGAGAAAGAAGCTCTCAATTATCTTTTTCTCCTAGTTCCCTTGCTTAATGTTGCAATTCCGTTCTTCTTAAAGTCATTTGCTGTCGTTTGGTCAGCGGATACTGTAGCATTTCTGGGGATGTATGCTTGGAAGGTGTTTATTTTTTTCAATCTGCTCATTTAGCATTGCTTATATTCTCCTCTCTGCTTACATACTTCTTTCGTGCAGCTCGGATGGCTACAGAAAGAGCAATGACAAAAGAAGTGAAGGATCAGTGGTGTTCTTGTAGCTTCAATTACGTAGCTCATTCAGCTGATATAATTCAACAATGGCTGCTTATGTTTCACGTCGACTCTGCTATATCATGATCCGTTTGAAAAATGAAGCATCTACAAGCACAGTAAGAATATCTCGGATCAAGTTGCCTTACTTCCCTCCTTTTATGCATAGACAATAGATTGTGCAGATGAATTTTTGAAGCCCTAAAAATACTTCTGAGAAGTGACTCTTTTATGTTTACATTGAAATAAACCGCTTTAGCTCGAAGTAAACATAATCAGATACAATTTGGTTGATTAGTTACACTTTATATACTTTGTAGGTCATCTTAATATGCTTTTTGTATATTTCTTCTTGCATAAATGAGAAATCAAATCTTGCAACTACTAGTATAATAAACATATTAGCTTGTTTGATGCACCTCCCTCCGTTTCAGTTTGTTTGTCTTACTTTCCTTTTTAGTCCTTTAGAAAAGAATGTCTCTTTCCTTTTCGACCATGTTTAAACCACAAGATTAAAGGATTCAAAAGTCTTCCAAATTTTCTTATAATTCGTGTCCACTCAAAAATCAGGCAAACAAGTTGAAACGAGGGGAGTACTATACTAAACTTATTAGCTTATAAAAGCCAAAAAGTTCTGAGCTCTCCATCCACTAGCCGCAATATTTTGTAGTAAGTCGACTTATTAAAAAAGTTCAGTGCTCATAGCCAAAATGTAAAAATTAAGTTTGTCAAAATGAAAAATATGAAGAAAAAAAAAGTTAATTACAAGGTACAGTTACATATTTTACTAATATGTACTCTGGGATGAGTAGAACGAATTACTTTAACGTTCTGTTTCCTCGTTGCATTCTGACCTGAATATGCGCCAAAACTTTCATAATTAGAATGTAAGCTGCTTGTTGTCTTAACAAAATCAATAATTACATTACTTGTGTCAATGTTGCTTTTACTTCTGTAATTTGTACTAGGACTTGCTCCATTAGATTTTTGTTTTTTGCTCAATTGATTTCTCTACATGACTTAAACTTGAATTGGTTCCATGTTTGCAAGCATCATTGACATTGTTGCAACATTAAATTCAACAATTGCATTCTTTTTATGGTTCCTTGTGTTATTATCTGTTGGATGTACCTGAGTTGGTACTTTTAGTGCGAGATTTCACCTTGCTTTTATGTCTTGAATGCGAAGCGTATTTTGCAGATTTTGCTGTTATTTTTGGTTTTTCTCCATCTCCACTGTCCTCATATTCCGAAGATCCTGATGCACTTCCATATCCATATTCTGAACTTGCTTTCTCATCCTCTTGACTGTCACGATTTTTTTGAGACTTTCGTTTGTCACTAACTTTTTGAGAGCGTTGTTTGTCATGGACTTTTTCATCATTTTGTTCGTCATTTTCACTATCTTCATACTCCTCATCAGAATAACCCTGATCCTCATCATCTGAATAATCTTGGTCCTCATTTTCGGAACTCGCTTGATCTTCATTATTTGACGTTGGGGTTGGAGCTGGAGGTGAACTGGGAATAGGATCATCTGGCTGGGGCATTGTAAGAAAAGTAAGAGCAGCCACAACATCACCAATCAAAGGACGAACCATTGGTTCGTCTTGAAGACACATTGCTGTAACCCCAACTGCTTGATTTAAACCTTTGACAGGAAAACTCTTCCCAAGACGCGGGTCAGCCAATTCATGGAACTTCTTTGGATCCTTGAAATAAGGTTGTGCCTATTAAATCACATACATTTGTTGATCAGTTAGAACTGTTCTCAAATAACTTCCTTTAGTTTTTAATCGAAAAAAAACTGAAGAACTTTGAGATTAAAGGGTAGCTTGGGTGCATGAAGCTTCCCCTATTCAAGTAGGGTTCAGGGAAGGGCCGCACCTCAGGGGGTGTAATGTAAGAAGCCTACCCTGACGCAAGCATCAGTGACTCGAACACATGACATATAAGTCACCTGTGTTCACACAGGGTTCAGGGAAAGTCCGTACCACAATAAGGTGCAATGTAAGCAGCCTACCCAGATGCAAGCATCAGTGCACGGCTCGAACCCTTGCCCTATAGGTCACACGAAGGCACCATTACCTTTGTTTGCAAGGCCCCCCTTCACAAGAACTTTGAGATTTAAAAAGAAAAAGTAGAACACTTAGTGGTAGAATAAGAATACTCACCCAAGCAACTAAGTTTTGCTCATCTGCTGGCCTTGTAGTATCCACTGCTCGACGTCCTGTTATAAGTTCAAGCAAAACAATTCCAAAACAATATACATCTGACTTCAAAGTGTGTTCACCATTTTTTTCAAACTCCGGAGCACAATAACCAGTTCCCATCATCATCGGTGACATATTTGTCCTACTCCCTCCACCTGCAAGCTTAGAAAGACCATAATCTGAAAGTCTAGGATTAAAATCTTTATCCAATAGAATGTTTGTGCCTTTCAAATCGCGATAAATTATCGGTGGATTGGTCGTTTCGTGTAGATACTCGAGTCCATTAGCAGCACCTAAAGCTATCTTCATTCTTGATAGCCAACCTAGTGGCTTTTTATCCTCTTCGAGATCTGAAATATAGTAGAACTAGTTAGTACAGAATCAAGAAAGCTTATGACAACATGAAATGGGGAAGAGTAGGGCAGACATAAGTTGTTAGGCCTCTTCAAAAACATCAACAGGTGCGTGTCAAATCCTCCAAAAGTAGTTCTTGAAGAGTCCAAGCAACATAACATAAACTTACCAAGCAGATGATCGTTTAGGCAACCCATTGGCATATATTCGTAGACCAAAATCCTCTGATCACCATCAGCACAATATCCAAGGAGATTGACCAGATTTTGGTGCTTAAGGAGAGTCAACTTTGAGACCTCAACAATGAACTCTTGATTTCCTTGTGTTCCACTTCTGTCTAGTTGCTTCACTGCCACAATCTGTCCAGGTACAAACCAGACATCAAAACTGAAATCTTTCTTCACTTTAATATAGATGAACTTTTATAAATGGTGTGTTTAGTACAACACCAGAAGTCATTTTCCAGAAAATGAGTTTTTTTTTCTGGGAAGAAGTTTCTTTTCTGAAAAATGTTTCCCAGTGTTCCGTAAACAGCCTCTCTACCTCCGTGAGGCTGTTTACGGTGATATAAAGTTAAGGCTTGAGATATTTGTGAAGGGAAATGACAAAAGTGAGAGAGAAGTCATTTCTCCTTTATGCTGAAAAATGTTCTCTTGAAAACATTTTCTTACAACCAAACACCAGAAAGTGACTTATTTTGTGAAGAACATTTTGCAGAGAATATTTTCCATAACAGAAAACACACCCAAAAAAGATTTCTTATTCATTAGGAGAAAGTTTAAGGTTAATGTTACCTCTCCACCTTGAATTGTTCCCTTGAACACTCTTCCAAATCCACCTTCACCTATCAGGCATTCTTGCTTGAAATTCTTTGTTGCACTCGCGAGCTCGCGGAATGTGTAAGTTTTAGCATTACTGTTAACGTTTCCACCAGCATTGTCGCCTTTGTGAAATGGTTCAGCTGGTCGTTTAATCCAAAATGCATGGAGAAAGTGAACATAAGTTATGCCTGGTTAGGAAAGTTTTTTATGTTGCTAGGATTCTTCAAAAATGTTGTCATATGTGTGTGTTGGACCTTCCAAAAGCAATGCATTTTTGGATGATCTAACGCGAGTGCGGCAACATTTTTGAAGAGTCCGAGTCCGAACCAGAGGAAAGTAAAGAAATGATGACATGAGTTGGTAAAGCCAAAAGAGCTACCATAATAGCAATCACAGTGCCTATAGCAGCTTAAAGAAAGAAAAAAAAATCCTTTTGTTTCTACCTGTTTACTGAATTCTCTAATTGCTTAAATACTTAATAGGGTGACATATTTAGTGAATATGACATCCTTTTATAGACTAGTCTGATGTACTAAGCTCTCTCGTTGTATGTACGATCGAAAGAAGGGCCGGACCACATTGTGTCTTATGTATACAACCTTGCTTTACAATTCTACGAGAGGTTGTTTTTCCGACTTGAACCCTTGACCGCCTGATCATACGCCGGTGGTAATAGCATATTTACTCAAAAGGGTATATATTTTTTTTCCAATTAAAAAAGGGCAAATCATCAATATTTTTAAATGTTACATTAGAAAACACAAACACAACATGATTTCATTTTCTTTAATTTTTAAAGATCTAATAAAGAAAAGATGAATTTCGATGTTATATGATCATACCAGGATTTGGTGGCGTGGTTGAGATTCCTTTAGATTGAGCAACCGGCACATCGTCCTCCGACGATTCGGTTTTTTTCTTGAAGCAGGGGAGGCAACTCATGTTCTTGATCCTCTCAAAAGATCAAAAAATAAAAATCAAAAAAAGAAAAAAAATCCACAATCCCCTCAAGGAAAAGAGAAAAAATAAATAAAATCTTTTCAAAGAAATATATATATATGAATAATTGTGTCTATTTACCAAAGGAGCTCAAATGAAAGAAAAGGTCTACAAGAATTTTATTTTATTCTTTTAATTAATTATTTCTTCACGTTGTTCCTCTCAAGATTCCAATTTTTTTTAACTTAAAAATACAAATGCATGGTTGTACATGAATTCATGACCATCACGTTCATAAAAGCTTTTGATTTTAGGTAGAAAATGGGAAGAAAAAAGAAAAACATTAGGAGGAGGAAAAGGGATGGCAATGGCCTTTTCCTTTCATCCTCCCCCAGTTTTTGTTCAAGAAAGGGTCAACGTAAAGATATTATTTCGATGTAATTTCTATAGTATTTCTTTCCGTATACGGATCTTGTAAAAAAATAAAATTTCATATTGAGCTCCAGTCGTACGACAAATTTTTTTAGATGAGATGGCTACTTAGATGGAGAGGGGGAGGGTCTCTTTCCCTAGAGGTTGAGGTGGTGTTAGAAATTGTAGGAAAAGAAAATATCACTTGGAGAGGATGCAAGGACAAAGTTTTCTTTCCACCTCCTTTTTTTTTGGTTTTTCCCCCTTTCTTTTGTGTGGGGGGTGGGGTGTAGAACAATATATTTTGAAAAATGAATTAAAAAAAAAATCTCAAAATATCCATATTTGGGAGTTAGTTGGTTAGTCATATTTTAAGAAATTAATACACATAAAAAAATTAGAGATAATCTTAAACTTTTATTTCGTGACTCATAAACTCTAAAAAGTTGACGTTAATTTTGTATAAATAACGAGTATTGTTCAATAGGTTTTCAACAAATGGACCTACGAAATTTCAGGACCAAACGGAGTCGAATCAATCATATTTTCAGGAAATTTATATACAAAACACTGTGATAGTCAAAATTCTTATTTCGTGAAAGAAGTACTCTTGAAAAACAATGAGAATCTTTTACTAAATTGTCACGAATAGACTCGCAAAATTAGAGAGGGAGGGGGTTAACAAAGTCGGTTAGTAGTATTTCAAAAAAATAAATCATGGGCATTACATACGAAAAATGATGAAAATCTTAAATTCTTATTTCTTGACCCATAAGCTTCAAAATAAGAGACGTTGATTGTTAAGAAACAATGAGTATCATCCACTAGGTTGTTTTGAATGGACCAACAAATTTAGAATCAAATTAAGTCAGTACGTTATCTTAAAATTCATGGACTAATATATATGAAAAGCTTAGGTACTAACTTTCAAAAAGTGACATTAATTCTATATAGGTAATGAGTATCATATTAGGACGTCATAAAAGTTGAGGTTAAAAGAAGAACGTCATATTTTCCAAAAAAAATCATGAACTAATGCACAAAAAGAAGTAGAATAATCTTGCATTTCTATAAAGGTTTTGCCAAAAAAAAAAGGTTAGAAAATCATGCTATCAAAATATTCATAGGCTAACACACACGAAAAATTGCGAAAATCGTCCAATTCCTCTAATATGGCTTCTAAATGACCAAATATATGCATAAAAATGTGAAGTTTCACTTACCGTTCCCCCAACTCTCTACATAGTGTTCTGTGAAGGTTTTGCAAAAAAACAGCCTAAAGTCATATCACAAAAATATTCATGAGCTAACGCACACGAAAAATTAAAAAATTGCTTAATTTTTGTAAATTGGCCCATTATCTCAAATATATCCTAAAAACGGTGAATGTATACATACTGATCTTCCAACTCCCTACGAAGAGTTCCATAGAACTTCTGCAAAATATTAACCAGAAATTCATACCATCAAAATATTAATGGACTTATATTACAAGAAAAACTAAGAAAATCACTAAATTTTATATATTTGCACGTATATGCCAAAATGTCCTTGAAATAGTGAAACTATACATACTACTCCCCTACCTTCTTGCAGAGGGTCTTATTAAAATTTTGCAATAAAAAAGATCAGCTAAAAACCGTATAAAAAATATTCATAATCTAATATACACGAAAAAATTCAAAAAATCACTTAATTGTTGTAAGCCAAGAAACATAAAAGCAAATAAAACAGAACAATTGATGGGATGTAGATTTGAGTAAATATGACATAGACGTTTGATGTAAGCAATGACTTGAGCCTTGTTGTGTCGATGATGGAGGTGGAGCTAAGTGGGCTACTAGCACAATGCAAAACATATGGGGTATGGTATCACCCACAAAGTTATTAAAGCAGCAATTGAGTTCCACAAAACACAAATAACTATTGAACAAAAATACAAGAAGAGTAAACATAACAAATCACAACAAAATATAGAACTCTAAAATGGCTAAGACACTATACATGTCTAGATTTCTTTACACCACTCCATATGATCCAATTTCTTGATAAACTTTTGGTGCAAATTTGTCGAAACCTTACCAGCTAGCCACATATGGGACAACACGGTTTTAGGCCTTGTAGCTTTTAGTCTACTTTCAATAGAAAAATGGCTTAGCACAGACACCAAATGAACCTTTTCAGTATCAAGTTCATTACCCTTCCTTAGGCCTGATTTCAATCCCTTCAACAACCAAGCCACTTTTCCAGTTACCTTCCTTCACCTCTGTCAAGCTTATCTCGAGTTCAACGTCTTGCCCTCTCTTGACAAAGAATTCTCCCAACTCGACTTCTATCCATCCGTCACTTCTCTGTTGTGGGTATCGTGCTTGTGCATCGTTTTCTGGAGGAGGAGGATTCACTCCTCCTCTCAGCATATCAGCCATCTGGCTAAGCAGTCCCGATCTTCTTGGAACGATTTGGTACATGTGCCTACGTGCTGCCTCTGGATCCAAGAATACTGTCTGCGGTTTCCTTTCATGCCCTGAAATCCCTACTGCACCCTCTGCACTTTGGTGATCAAAACCGTAGGTCCTGGATTTCGTTGTGAACACAAAGTAGGCTGCGTAGTTGGTGTCAGGGGATAGCATAGAGGTGTTTATCTTGCCAGAAATATCAAACCAGCACACGTCAAGAAGCTCAGCAACCTCTGGGAACCTAAGTCATGAAAACATAGCATTAGATCAAGTCGAGAGTTGAGAGTGACAAAATGATAACTTATAAAAACTGATTCTACCCTACTGCGCCTTGGAACAAAATACTTGATCCTTCGAACTAAAATACGATAAAAAGATCAAAGTATGTGGATCGCCAAGTCAAGAACAGAAAAGATTGGGAAGAAAATGACGCTTCTCTAACCATTATAAAAGTTACTCGTCAATTGAAATACCTGGACTCAGGAAGGGGGATCCATCTCCAATACCGTGGTGTGTCAGCCCAAATAATTGCTAGCGACCTCGCAGCTAACATGTAGCATTTCTTTCCACTCTGCTTCTCCAATGAGAAGCTCTGGAATTCATCGATACCAAGTCAGAAGTACACTTAGCGAGTAAGAAACAAAACTACACCCCAGCCCCCAGCAACAATTATTCAAAGTAAGAGAAAACAAGGAAAAAAGAGCTACGCCACATGTGAATCAAATATCAAAGCAACGACATCTAAAATGTAGCAAAAAAAATGTGCTCGTGATCGAACAACAAGTGCAACAACACTATTCGTACTAATGGCCTAATACATGGAAAGATGTTGATCTGTGTATCATAAAATGCCAATAACATTCACAGAAGAATATGAAGTCCTAATATAGTAATTCATATAAGTATGCAGGGGAACTTCCCATCTCTAACATAAAGGTTGATATAACCAAACCGCAAACAGATACTCTAACACACACACGGACTTGATGAATACACAGACTATATCCCCGCGTTAGCACACACTTAAAAGTCCCAAACAATCAATGATTCCAACAACTCCAGCTTCAATTAAGTTTCTTCTCATAACGTACGTTGCTCAGATTCTCAATGCCTCATGCAGCACGTCGGATCCTCCAAAAAAGTACTCATTTTTAGAGAATCCGCAACATTTTTTTCACAATCACCTAAGTTTTATGCATCGTATCTACCTATTACTATATCATTGAAATCATATTTAACCTTACTCAAATAATAACATTTTTCATAAATTTCAGATTCAAAAACTATATAATTCCTAAGAAATAGATATAAATACACATAAATACAATATCAAAAACGTGGAAAATTAAAAATTAAATTCAAATAGTAACTGATTATTACCTTAGTCCCACCGTCGATGAAGAAAGGATGATCACATAGATAGAGATAAAGCTCTTTCTTAGAACCGACATTGAACGATTCCGGTCCATCACTAGACCGGGAAATAATATCACGGTAATCCGACGGCAAAAACCGGTCCCAAACGGCGTCAGATTCACCAGCCGACCGGAAAACCGTACCGACCACCGATAACCTACTCGCATCTCTCGGACTCGTCAATGATAGTACGTTGGCTATGCAACCTTCCGGCAGGTGGCAGATATCACCACCGCCACCACCGGAGCTACGTCCAATTTCCACCGCCATTGTGATTTACTTAATTTTTTCTTCTAATTTGTATTTATAGAAAAAAATTATATCCAAAACGACACAGTATTCTTCGTAATGGTAATGGGTAAGAACATAAATGAGCTAAAAACATCTATTTATAGAGTGAACTTTGTGAATAATTATGTCGTTTGTTCGGATATTTTTTATTTTTGCATTATACGAAAATATTATATAAATTATAGAAATATTCGATTTTAAGAAAAATAAATTATTATAATAAAATATTATTATAAATTATATTATATCATTTTAAATCAAATTATTAAATATTAAACATTGATAATGGTAGAACATTTTGACGTGTATAAAGTGTGGCTTACACGATGATACTAGGTGTATCTGAATGTGGTCCTAAGATTTATTAATTTTTAATTAAGAAATTATATTTTTATATTTATTATAATGATATTATATTAAAAAACATAGAGTTTAAATATTTTAAATAGATTTTACTTTTATTTTTTTTAATAATCCTTATAATAACTATAACATATCTAATTTTATTTTACAAATATAATTAATGAAGTGATAAAGTTTATAAAGATTTTATTTGTATTTCGTGAAGGTAGAGAGAAAATTATTAATAAATTATCGACTTTATATGAGAAGATAAAGTTAATATAAATTTTTACTTTATTTCGTAAAAATAATAAATAATTTTCAATAGATCGAGATTGCATATTTTTTTGTATTTGATTAGCTAACTAATATTTTATAAGTAAAGCTAACAATACTTTAAACCTTAACCATTAAGTCTATGCTTTTGGCATAACATGCATATTCCCCTTTTTAATGCTTTCCCATTTCTTTTTCTAATAATATCAAAACTCAAACAATATAGAAAATGACTTATACCCAAAATAAGAAAAACAAAAAATAGACTTAATGACTAAGATTTGAGTGTGTACATATATATATATATATTAATCTTTTTTTATTTTATTAATAATATTATATGAATATATGTTGTTATTGAAAATAAAAAAGAAGAAGAACCAGAATAAAAAATAAGAGGTTTTTAAAAAAAAGAATATAAAAAGATAACCTTTTTGAAGAGATTTTAAGGTGTATATGTTTTAGAATTTGAAAAAAAAAAAAGTCTAGAAGGAAAAAATAGAAATTTATTTTTTAAAAAAGAGTTTTTTTCTTCTTCTTTTTTTTAATAGATTTTAAACTGAGTGGTTCAATTTTTCAAAAAGTTCTTAAAATTAAAATTTTAAATTAGCTAAGCCACTTTTTTTGTTTTGTGATGACTTAGTTTATATATATATAAAAGAAATGAAGCTTTTGCTTGATTTTTTTTCAAAAAGTAGTTTATATATATATAAAAGAAATGAAGCTTTTGCTTGATTTTTTTTCAAAAAGTTGTCTATAATATTTTCTAAAGGTTACTTTGCAAATAAAAGTTTACAATATTTTTTAAAAGTTGCTTACAAATAAAAGTTTATCTATAATACTTTTTAAAAATTGCTTGCAAATAAAGGTTATCGATAATACTTTTCAAAAATTGCTTGTAAATTGTTCGTTTGACTTACTCGTAAGCTACTTATCACCTATATGCTTGGTTACATATTTCGAGTTATTTATACGTTGTTTGCTTGAGCTATTTATATAAACTACTCACTCGATTGCTATAAAAAAAAAATTCAAAAGTGTAGAGAAATTAGTTAATAAATATTTGAAATACAAAATACGAAAAAGTGTGTATAACTTCTCCCACAAGACCTGAATACATGACATGTTAATGATACAATGAAGTTGATTTTGATACCAATTGTTGAATACTAAGACAAAATTATGTGTAGATCAGCCCAAAAATCTGTTTTAAAAGTCACATTACAAAGGCCAAAAAACTAAGTTAAGACACTAAACCATGCCTAAGTACCAAAATTGTTAATGCCGGTTGAGTACTGACAATGACTTGGAGAAAGAGAAGGTTCTAGAACTAGGATAGAGCGTGAAATCAACGAGTTCAGTTGAAACAAGGTAACGAGCCTTTTTAAGTCTAAGGGAAGGATCAAGGTTGAAAGGCATGGACTAGTGTAAGCCTAATAATGGACTTACTTACAGATACGAGATCAATAACTTGGATAAAAGAGAGACGTCGAGAGAAAGTCCTTTAACGTATTGTGTCCTATCTTATTCTTCAGTTTTCTTCTTCTTTTGCTTTTTCTCTTTCTTTTTATCAGCAGTTTCACTTTCATCATCATCATCACTATGTTTTCTCTTCTTTTTCTTGCTTTTTTCAACTTCAACATTTTCTTCAGTAGCAGCATGCTTCTTTTTCTTCTTCTCCTTCTTCGTCCCCGTTTCTTCTACACTCATCTTTTGCTCCTCGTTGTCGATACAACCAAGAACAGCATCAGCAGAAGGATTGTAAACCTACAGGGTGAGGGTAAGTCAATAGCTGGAAATAGAATCAACAAAGTAAAGACAAAGACGAGAACTCTCTATAACAATCGTCCTCTAACAACGGCCAAGTTTTCTATGGAGCCAATTTTCATGTTATGTTATATTATATGTTCTCTATAACATCATTTCACTATAGCAGCCAATAAAATAGGGGGGGAAATGAATGACGTTGTTATAGAGAGGTTTGATGGTACAAATTGAAGTCCAGTTCCTGACCTTAGCTGGTGTTATTAATGCTCCAGCACCCTTCTTACGATCCTTGTCATAAGCTTCGATTTTAGGTTTCCCTTTAGCAGAACCAGCTGATTTACCCAACTCTTTGCCTTCTAAAGCTCTTAATCGTGCTTCGAGCTACAAAATTTGACGACAATGATAATTAGGTGTGACTATGGTATGAGCAGAAATGAAAAGAAAACAGTCTGAATTCGATAGTATTTGATGACTATGTATACCTTGACCCGATTCTCCAAACCCATTGTATTATCTTGGCCATCTCCAAGAGCATCATATCGAATTGCTAAAGAAGCTTTACTGGCAAGAGATCTTGCGATTTTACCCTTGTGTTTTGGAGCTGCCTGACCGATCAAAGACGCGTGATATATAAGCCCGTACTTGGGAGTAGCATGCTTCGTCTTTAAAGCTCTAAAGAGCGCCTTTTCTGCACCAAGTATCTGTACTGTACTTCCAGGTTGTTTCGCAAGATTTGTCAAGCTGCCACCATGCGCAATAAGGCGAGCTCCAACAAGTTCTCCCACTAGAGCTGTAAGATTTGGCGCAATGGTATTCATTCTGCTCTTCAAATAATCATACAACTGAGCCCGGTACTCAGAGAAGGACAGGACTTGGCTGCATAAATCTTTAATATTCTCCAGATCAAGATCACTGACTTCAGTTCCCATTGAAATCATGGCTGCCTCTTTCAATTCAGCCTCAACCTCTTCTGGAAGTATCTGTAAGCGACCAAGATTATGAATTTTAGTTTCTGTCAAAGAAGTAAAATCACGTTCTAGCACAAAAGCGGAATTTGACTGCAATCTGCCACACCAAGCAAGAATGTAATATTCGTAATACTACTTTGACCAAGGAAGGGAATCTTGCTGTTCTTTCTAGTTCAATAAAGAACGATTTAGAGAGCAACAAAGAAGTCGAATTCCACCTCAGAGAAATCAAGCTTTGCAGCATTGACACGGTCACCCATCAACTTAACCGCCTTAGCATAAAGGATGTTATCTTGTACAATCTTTGCGAGCTCAGGAAAATGCCAGCCATACCATTCTCGTACCCTCATTGCATAGGTGTTCAGCTCTTTATCAAGATCATCCAACAAACCAATGGCCTGGACAATCATTGTATCCACCTAGAAGAGCAACAAATGTCATTAAACTCGTAATTTCAGTTTCACGGTTTCTGATATGAATTACCGTACAGAGGTCAGAGTATCATGAACTTAACCACAGAAGTCAAACGGCAACACATAAAATTGAGACGAGGGACATTAGAAATAATACAGCCTATCGCAATAGAAAGCTCACCTTGTCAGGACTAAATTTCAGCTTGTATCTTGAAAGACTGTGAGACAAACCCAAGCTCATTGGAGCCAAGTCTTGAGTGGCCAGACCAGATATGAGTTCAGTTAACTGACTTCTCAACCCTCTCATCAATTCCATCACAACATTATTGTGAACACATTCAATTTGCTGCAAACATATACTACATCAACTTCAATAAAGAAAAGGAAAGACACTAGAAAACAAAGACCAATGTTACCAAAGGGATTTGTAGTCCAACACTAATTATTATAAGCATGAATAACAAACATCAATCGTTTAGTGTCGCCTATTCAAGATTAAGCTCATTGGCAAGGAAAAGTATGTATTTGCTTGATGACAATATTGAAGTGCCCGCTAAGTGAGCTGCAGCATTCAACATGTTTTGCACCTTATTTCAGGGCTTAAGCGTGATCTAAGCTAAGTTGCACGGACTCTTCACTTTGATGTCGTACCCGTGACGGATTCTCCAAAAGTATACTACTTTTAGAGAATCCGACATGCACCTACTGATATTTTTAAACTGTCCGAGCAACATAGGATTTTAGCACACTTTTGACAGCACTGACAAAGACGCAATGAGAAGATGAAAGGAACTAACCAGTTTCTCTTTAATCGCATTACCAAGTTTTGAATCAGCAATACCCAGTGTTTCACCATCACAGTGCGCTTTCAAAAACTTTCGAAGTCCTTTGCTAGGCTTGCTATCTATCAATAAAGTTGCTGCTGAGAGTGCTTCTGAAGTGTTCTCAAACTTAGAGAAAGCTTTCAATTTGACAACCTGTTTATGTACCAACCAAAATGGTAAAAAGCGGTCAAGCAACATAACGACTAACAGTAAGGCAGTTCAGTCCTATTCTCACTGTAAGCTAATCACACACACACCCAGGGGAGGATCTAGGTCCAGAAGGAGGTTCATTCGAACCCCATCGTTGGAAATTACATATAATATATAAAGTCAAATTATCTTTTATGTATATATATTATATGTTGAATATCCTAGGGTTCTTCATGTGATTACTCTTTATATTTTCAATCCCTTTGGTGAAAAAAACGAATTCCGCCACTGCAAACATCCAACCAGGGGTTTGATAAAAAACAAAGTTTCTCTATGTGCCCCAATTATCTCTACCTTGGCAACAGCTCCATAGCTCTACCTAGACGGTATACCTATATGGATCCCTTGTCTCCGTTGTGTTATGTTCTTAGCTAAGTCCACATTGATTTGAGAGGTTATAGCTAAGTACAGTGTTTGAAAAGTTTGCAGCTATTGTATCCAACAACTAACTGAGCCTTCAAAGAAATATGCAACAGAATAGAGATAAAATAATCAATATCAACTTTGTCCAGATTTCCGGTGAATGTCTACTTGACATTTACCTGGATTTCTCATTGTATTTTTCCCAATGACATATTATAGATTAACACAGTACTAAATATAACCCTATCGCAACCCACCCAGACAAAAAAATGTGATCTTTTAGCATATTTAATTCAATACAGATATGCAAACAATTGCTTGAAAATGTAATCTTCTACTTTTCAATCTCTTAAAGTTCGAGCCTTTAAGAATAGAGAGAAAGATAACCTTTCTAGCAGAATCAGACGTCGTAAACTCTTTCGACAAGTCCTGCAACATAAAAAGATTCATCATCAAATACAAAAGAAACTTACAAAACCATAAACATCAATTTACATTACAATGTATTATGAAGAACAATCAAAACAAAGTCAAACACTTTGGTACCTCAACTTTAGAGAGTTTTCCTTCATCAAGTACTTTGAAAAGTGCAAAGCCTGCCGGCGTTTCGAACAATACTAGCATTTTTTCTGCTTTCTCACTCCAATAAGAACCTAAAGATAATAGCTAAAAGCAAAAAAATCACTTGGATGCCAAGAAAAAAAGCATCTGCACTTGTAATATTTCATAAAGAACAATGGACCAAACACCAGTCACTAGCATTACACACTATAATCAATTAGAGAAAACGCCTTCATAAAATATGCACCTAAAAAGGGTCATTAAAAGCATAAAAACCAAAAGGGTTCTAAGTAAAAGTTTATTAACATGTTAAAATTCACAAGGAATAAATTTTGGAGCTGGGCCTTAGTTAAAGCAATTGTAAACCAGCATTCCAGACCGTTTTCCATTCAAGAGAACTCCTTGACACAATATGCACCTTTAGATATTCGTTAAAAGCATAAAAACAAAAAAAAAAAAAAGGGGGTGGGGGGGGTCCAACAAAAAAGTTTATTAACTTGTTAAAATTCATAAAGGAACAATTTCCGAGCTCCCTTTTGTTAAAAGCAATTGGTAAAACAGCATTACAGACTATAATCCAATAAAGAGAACTCCTTTAACCACTTGACAAAATTCTCACTCCAGGGTGATAGTTAAAAGCATAAAAAACATAAGGGGTTCCAAGAAAAAAGTACATTAACTTGATAAAACTCACAAAGGAACAATTTTGGAACCAACATTACACACTATAATCCATTAAAGAGAACTCTTTTAACAGAGCATAAACATCAAAAGGGTTCCAACAAAAAAGTCAATTAACCTGTTAAACTCCACAACTGATACAAAAACAGCAACACAGACTATTACAGTCTAGTTCAAGAGAACTCCTTTAACACAACATGCACCTATTAAAAGCATAAATATCAAAAGGGTTCCAACAAATTAGCCTATTAACTTGTTAAACTCCACAACTGATACAAAAACAGCAACACAGACTATTACAGTCTAGTTCAAGAAAACTCCTTTAACACAACATGCACCTATTATAAGAATAAATATCAAAAGGGGTTCCACAAAAAAGTAAATTAACTTGTTTTAGTATCACAACTGATACACAAACAGCATTAGAGACTATAATTTAGTTCAAGAAAACTCCTTTAACATAATATGCACCTAAAGATAAGCATAAATATCAAAAGGGGTTCCAACAAAAAGGTATATTAACTTGTTTAAAATTCACAACTCAAAATCAAACAGCATTACAAACTACTATAGTCTAGTTCAAGAAAATTCACGTTTCAGTGAAAAAAAATGTTGAAAAAGTCTTTCTTGTGTGTGAGATGAATGAAGAGAAAATACATACAATTCTATTTGCCTTGTAGAAAAGAGAAGTAGAGAAAGTTCACAACAAGAGCGTAAAAAGTTAGCGGCGGAAGAAGTGTTGGGCAAAATGGCCAAATATAAACTTGAAACAACTTTGTACTTAGGGTGGAAGTTTGACCCCTTTTGTCTTTTTTTTTGTACTTTTTACAATTCAAGTACTATAATATAGTTTCATGATGATAAAATTATTTCAATTTGCTCAAATATAATAAAGTATAATTACAATACTATCCCCTTTTCTCTATACCTCACTATCTGCTTCCCTAAAAGGCTTAAACCCTCTATTTCCTTCTTCTCTGCCCAACTCCTAAAACGGAGAGAAAGACTGATTTTTCAGTGTCTTGAGGTAATTTTCTTCACTTCTATAGTTTGTTTCTCAATTCTTACTGCTAGTAGATTCAGATTGGAGTATTTATTGGTCATGTGAATCAAGAATCGTTTTTTTGTCCATATTTGTTGTCACTGTGCTGAAATTCATGTATATGATGTGCAAAAGTCTATTTTTTTTCTATTTTATTTACTTTTTTAGCTTGAGTTCAAACCCCATATGCTAAATTTTTGGAGAAACCAAGGGTAGGGATGACAATGGGGTGGGGCAGTTAAAATTTAACTCAGCGGGGGGGTTTGAAGTCTTTGTGGTTTTACCTCAAGCCGGCCCCACTCTTCCCCATTGTCATCCCGAACCAAGGGATATAGAAGTCTTAGTTGTTAGGTAATCCGAACATGTTCATAGGCGGAGCGAGGAGTTGAAGTTTCTGGATTCTGAACTTGCCATCGATTGGGTAGCTCATCTTAGTTAATGGGTCAAATTTGAATGTTCATACATATTTAATAGATTTTCTTGTTGTGTTACTCGAGCCAATGGTCTAGGAAACAATCTCTCTACTTTCACAAGGTATGTTTGTGTACGCCTCACCCTCCCTAGACCACTTGAGGAATTACATTGGATATGTTGTGAATAGATTTTCTAATATATATGCAAGATTTGAGCCTAAGTTACTTGATTCGTACGATCCCATAGTTGATGATCAAGCTCTGCCCTTGAACATGTTGAGTTCCGTGTACCATCTTGTCTAAAAGTTTAAACCTTTAGGGAGGTATAGTCCTATTTATTTAGTTTACTACTTCCTTTATTAGTTGTATTATTCCGAGCAATTCACCAAATTGAGGAATTTTCTTAGTCCTCTGAATGAAGAATCAATTTTTGCCTATATCGGTGGCCACATTGCTAAAAGTCGCCTGTATGATGAGCAAAGTCTAAATTTTCTCTTTTTCTGTTTTCTTGTTTAACTTGAACTCCGAACCCCATATACTGATTTTCTCCAAGAAACCATAGGATATAGAAATCTCAGTTGTTAGGTACCATAACATGTTGAACTGTGTATACCATCTGGTTGAAAAATTTAAACTTTTAGGGAGGTATAGTTCTATTTATTTAGTTCAGTGCTTCCTTTTTCTCAGTTGTGTCGTTCTGAGCAATCACCAAAATTTGGCACTTTAAATTGAGAATTGTCAAAGGGCTGGATTTAGGTGGGTGATGAACAAAGCCCAAATCTTTTCTCTGTTTTTGTTGCCTTATTCAACTCGACTACCAAACCCCATGTACTTATTTTTTCAAGAGACATGGAAGTTCAAATGATTCGTGTTGAACTGTGGGACTGTCTCATCTTAAAAGCTTAAATAGTAAGAGATATGAAAGTTTTATTTACTCCATCTGCTTCATTTTCTATGACGGTTTTTTATTGGACGGATAGTTTAGGTTGTTTATTTGACTAATATATTATGTTAGTAATAGAAAATTTCACAAAAATTTGAAGTGTTATAAAAGCTGGCTAAATAGATTGGTTCAAACATTTTGGAACATCTAAAATGGAAAGAATATCATACAAGTTCAGAAGGATGGAGTATTTATTTTAAGTGATCTTTGAACCTCTCGGTGTGCTTTGACCCTGTGTAGACTGATCTAAAAGACAGGACTTTTATTTATTTAGGACTTCACAACAAAACAAAGCTAGCTGCAGATGGAAGTTTGCCCAGACTGTGGAATGTTGTTGCAATATGAGTTGCCTCATATGGACCGTCCAGCCAGATTCTTTTGCCCTGCATGCCCTTACGTATGTAACTTAGAGAACCGGGTAAGATAACTAGAGAACTTATCATTGGGTCCTTTTCGTTCAGTAAGTTTACTTTTTTCTTTTGTTACATGGTTTGATAGATTAAGATGAAGAGAAGGCAGCCTTTGGTTAAGAAACAAATGGATCCAGTGATTTCGACAGAAGACATGGATAATGCTTCGACTGCTGAAGGTCTTAACACTTTCTCTACTTATAGCTTCTTGGTTTTATCATGATTTGCTGCCACTGCTTACACTTGTACTATCTAAAAATTAGTTGTTCTATGAGTTAGTAATGTTACATCTAAAATTACTAACCAAATTATTGCCAAATTTTGTCGAAGAACCTTCAGAGTAAAAATAGTTAGAGAAGAAAGTTCTACATTTATATTTCACGTGGATGTTAGATGACGTAAGTGTCTTCTTATTTCTTATAGCTATTGTCTTGAACATGCCAGAAGTTTGAATTATTGTTCCAATAATTGGTTGTCCATTGAATTTAATGTGTTTTAGAACATAGATACAAATGTCTCCTTGGCCATATGTTTGATGTTTCTGTTGTAATGAGATCTACTCTCAATTAGTTTGTAACTGATACTCATATATGTGTGTACATATAATAGATTGAGGTGATCCTCTTTCCTCTCCTCATATTATCCAATCAAAGTATAATTCTGATATTACTCCCTCCCGTGCTTGAACAATTACTGATGATACATAAAGCTAGTGAAAACCTTTTTATAGATTACCTATGGCGATCATTTTTTGATTTTCTGAGGGAATCCATGGCTATTTTGTTAGTTAACATGTTAAGGTGCTACTGGTATGACTTATGACCAATCTCCGTATTTGAATTATGCCTTCTTATAGATTGCCTCTGGAAATGGTTATTTTCTGTGGATAGTATAGACTCAAGTTTGTGACTAACTAGCCCGCGCTTCTGCCTTTCTGCTTTCCACGAGTAAAAAAATATAACAATACCTACAAGAGCTAGAGTTAAATAGTTGTTTCGAGAAATAAGAAAGACACTTAAATTGGAATAGACAGAGATCTAGCAAAGTTTCTCTTTTTATCCCCTGAGAGTCAACTCAAACAAAGCAAAATGAGCTAAAGGGAACATCGTGAATTGGTAGTTTGATATTGTACTTTTACGATCTTGTGCAGCTAAACTAACATTCGTAAGTGTTTTTTGTTTCTTGGAAGGACAAACCTCTCTGTGTCTGTGTGTGTATGTATGTTCATGTGATTCTTGAACTTTATATATGGGAGGCGCTAAAGTTGTGTGCATACAAAAAGCATATGCTGTGTTTTTTAGACCACATCAACTATATCTCAACCCCAAACAAGTTGGAGTCAAATCTTCAAATGTTGTGTTTTTTATACAACTCGTAAAAATTTAGAGCTAATATACGTCTTTTTTCTTGCCCTTTTTTGCTGTTTTATTCGCTCTTGGCAGTTCCGTGTCCTGCGTGTGGTTACAGGGAAGCAGCATATTATCAAGTGCAGATAAGGTCAGCAGATGAACCTATGACTACATTTTACAAATGCAAGAACAAGCTATGTGGAAACAATTGGAGAGAAGACTGAAATGGTTTTAGGAAAGAGCAGTGTATTCTTCAATAGTTTCTTGGTACCATTTCTCGGTTTCTGCGTATCATCCTATCACAGGCAGAGACCATGTTGATCTTGTCTGTATCGTTCCAATTTTATCGAATGTCCATAAAGGGATCCGTGTTCTGCAAAAGTTGTGTACTCTTTAATTTGAACTTATGAAATTTTGTCAGAGTGATATCTTCTGTCTAGTGCCAATTTTTCTTTGAAATAGAGTTACTCGGTACTTGTGCAAAAAGTATCGTAGCAAAGACAAAACATGAGATGATTTCTTTCTATTTTTTCTAGGCTTAGTGGATGAAGTTACTTAATACTCGTTTGGGTAAAAGCTAGTAGACACCTCTGAAATTAGTCGAGATATTGTATTTATCGGGAAAAAAAGTTTAAAAAGATACACTTTTAACGAATTTCGTATCGATAAAATAAGTTAGCGTTAGGTATATAAGTAAGCATGTCTTAATGAATAAAAATATTGGCTCGTGAGTTCTCATTTAAGCTAATTAGGCACTTTGATGAGTCATTAACCAATAGAAAATTATCAATTAATTGAAAATAATCGATTCTTTTTCTTGTTTTTATTTGTTTTGTTTAAGCTAATCCCTTTTAGTTATTTTACATTTATACTAATCTTTCTGCTAATTGTAACACGTAATCATGATTAATTATTTGACTTCTTTTTTGTAATGAGACAACAAAATTGAGAGGTAAACAATAATGTTTTGTTTTTTTTTCCTTTAATTAATCTCTTTTACTTATTATATTAATTTTTTCTGCAAATCGTGACACGTAAATCAACTAATTAATTTAATCATGATTAATTATTTGAGTTTCCTCTAAACTTTTTGTAATGACACGACCGGATAGGTAAACCATAATCATTATCTTAATTATCCTAAATTATGGCCACGATAATTAGAATTTAACCTAGAAAATTATTAAAATAATAAAGGACGTTACTATATAGAAATCCATGAAAATATTCCCTTTTTTGTATCTATAAAATATCCTTTATTTTTTACTATTAAAACAATTTCAAAAAAAAAAAAACTAGTAAATACTTTCATATTTTGAAATGTGAATCCTTTACTACATCTTCATTGCATTTACTTCTTTTTATTTTTCAAACTCGTATTCAATCGATATTGATATTAAAGTTCAATTAAGGTTGTATTGTGCCTTATACATCTCATGTTTAGGGACGACGCTCTAATAACAAAAATTAAAATTAAAATGTAAAATCGCTGAACACAAAACCTCTGATTAAGAACGAGAAAATCCAATCATTCCATCACAATCTATGTTTATTATCTGTCCTGTGTTTTAAATAATTACAAAATTATAAATCTAATTAAACTCATATTTCTTATTACCAGAAAACCTTAAAGTAAATAATTGAGCCACAATAATAAAGAAAAACTACTTAACTATATATTGTTGTTAAGCCACAATAATTTACTTCATTTTTTGCTATTAGGGTTGTATAAAACTCATAATATTTATTATTTCTCTATCACTAAAATTGCATTTATGAATTGACCATAAACACTTTTTTCTTTCAAAATTACAATAAATTAAAGATATAAGATTGCTCTATGCATTTAAAAGATACATTAAAAAAAAAAAAAAACTTGACCAACCAAATCAAAACTAAAATATAAAATTGAAAATTAAAAACAAATAAGTTTTAAATAATTAAAAAAGAAAACAAAGCCAAGCATTAGACTTGCCTAAGAGTTGCAAATTCTTCAATATTTCATCTTCTTTCTCTTGTTCTTGATTCTTTTCATCTTCACATAACTTTATGGTAAATAAACATGAAAAAAATAATGATATTTAATGACTTCTAACATTTCCATAAACTTAAAAAGAAATTATTTTTAAACTAAAAATATTAAGATTTAATTTTTAAAAATTAAATGAAGAAAGAAAAAGAAAGAAGAGGAGGAGATAAGAGTTTGAGTAGCAAAATGGTGGAATATTTATAAGAGAAAATTCCAAGTAATAAAGGTGTTTTATTATTTTATTTTATTTTATTTTCTAAATTTTTGTGGTGGAATACAATGAAAACCCATAAATAAATACATACATAATATATGCCAACTGGATACCTAACAAATTAAGTGATAAGACTAAAAATATTTTAATAATAAAGGGTCTGTGTCACAAGCATATTTTTTATATTAATTAAATAATAATAGAGTTCAATTAAATTTAAGCATATTTCAATTATATAATTCAATCGATATTAATTATTCTCTATTAATAATCACATAAATATTACATAACCATGTTTAAGTTTTTTAACTATTTTACTAAACAACTTTTTATCTTTAATAAATAAATATCAGATAATTTTTGGTAAATAAAACCTATCAAAGTGTACATATATATATAATTTTTTCCTTTCACATGCTCAAATTTAAAAAATTTAAATTAAAAATAATTATATCATATTAATATCAGCATAATCGATCAATAATCTATTATTAAGGTTGAGTGTGAATCTGAGGTAGCCAATATAAGAAATTAAAAGACATAAAAACAAAACTTTGACATACTCAAATCAACTTTTAAAAGTTTAATAAAGTAGTAATTATTTTTTATTTTAGATTTTCATGAATTATTACTTTCTGAAAAATGTGATTTAAAAAGATGCATAATATATATTAAATTCTTCTATAATTTGATTTTTTTTTATATTTATCATCGTCTATAATAATATTACAGTAACAATTATTTATTTTTTATAATTATATTATATTATACTATATTAAGATAAAAGATGTGAAGAAGTTTGATAATAGTAATTATTGATTTTTTTAGGAGATTTTTATGATTTATTATTAGTGGGGAAAATAATAATGAAAATATTTGAGATGGTCCTCAATTATATTTGGTCTTGGTCTTGGTGGTGGGGTTCAATTATGAACTTTACAAATAATTATTTTTGTGGGGGTCCTAACCCACCCACCCCATGTAGGATAATCAAAGATTCAAATCAAAGATGAATCTTTAATCCACTAAACAATAAAACAAGATTGGATGATTCACAATGACTTTTTAGGCCAAACTTAATTAAATTTCATTAATTATTTTATCCTTATGACAGTTGACTAACTTAAATTTTCTTTCATACTAATTTCCCACTTCACAAAACAAAACAAAAAAATAATTAAACTATATAACACACTAGCTACAACAACAAAAAAAAAAAATTGAATGATAATAGATCTTCTTTCTAACGATAATATTTATTGTTATAAGAATATTTAATGATAATTGAGTTAAAAGACATTTTATTTATGATATTTATATTATATTATTATCGTTAAATATAATATAATAATAATAATAATTATATTATTTTTACAAAACTATTCTTTGGTTTGTTGAGGTGACATAAAACCAACCAAATTATGATTTTTCATCAAAAGATTGTTTTTCTTTCTGACTCCTATAGTATTTATTATTATTATTATTATTATTATTATTATTATTATTATTATGAAAATAATTATGCTTAACCCTACATTTTCTTTTTTCTAGGTGGGGGATAGAGCTTTTGAATTGGTTCATAAAGTGGGCTTGGCGGCTGATGAATTTGACAATTTAATTTGAATAAATACTTATATTTACATCGAACTAAATAATATATTATTAAAATAATAGTAAGAATATATATCATTTAAGTATACCAAAGTAGAAAATATGTATACAAACGATACATGTTTTGCATTAAATGATTTAATATGAAAGTGAAAGTCGATCTTAAGCAAAATTCAAAGACGTTAATAGGTTTACTAGAAGGATTAGATCATTAAAAAAATATCAATAGATGAACCTCGAGTAGTGAACTATTGAAGACTTAAATAATGGATAGTTATCGTGGATTGACTTAGAGTAACGAGGCTAATCTTTCCACTCCTCGTGAATGGAGAAACAATGTGTGTGTGCGCGAATGGAGGTGGAGATGAGGGGCCCTCAACTACTACGCCTCAACCTCAAACGAGAAAAAAGAAGAGGTTAACAATACAAAAAGGCAAAAACAATAACTAGATGATTGAATGTATAGAATGTCATATGCATTTATTTAACAATAGTACTTGTTCTTAATAGCAGCAGAACCAAAAACAAAGCAATGAAACTAAAAATGTATAGAATTCAATCACTGTCTTTCCTTGTATACTGAACAACAAGTCTATATTTGTAACAACCATGTATGTAACACTTGAGCAATATTGTTGAAACACCAGCTACCTCATGACGATTCAACGAATCAAAGATTTACACTTCTGAGGAGATGGTCTTGTAAAAGAGAGTTGATTCTGTGGACTGCAGTAAAACTTGCCACCAAGCTGTATGTATGATGATCTACTACCACTATGTATGGATTTCTGTACGTCCTAATTAACACGACTAATCTGTGTATATCGATCCCTGTATGAACATGTGAATCTCAGCCCAGCTAGAAACAGTATAGAGAACACCAGAGAGTTTGTTCCAACTTGTTGAGTCTTTCTTAGCATAAGTCTTCTGTTTCTCAATGATGCCATGATACAGCGGAATGAAAGAAATACCAAAATGATTCCCGACTCTCGCCAGGTTTGGGCCTGGATTAATCAGAATGCCAATATCTGCTTGCAGCAAGCAAAGCAAATCATTCATGGTACCCCCAATGTGAACAGTCAGGTTCTTTTTGTCATTGTTGTAGTTGTTTAAAACTTCACTGAAGGTTTGAACCTTGTCGAAGGGGTCTTCAACTTTCTTTACAATTACACCAGTTGATAGATTTTCTTCAAATATAAAGTCATTCGCGTGCACATTCACAACATCCAAACCATCTGATCACAACAAGACAAGAAAAGGAAAGATTTTTAGAGACACTGACAACCTCAACTTACAAGGTATGGTGCTCAGACTCCCAAAAATATTGCCGCACCCATGTTAGATCCTCCAAAACTTCACTGCTTTTGGAGGATCCGACACACATCCATCGATATTATTAAGAGTCTAAGCAACTTTACCAGAATACTATGTGTTAGGTCATTATGTTATTATCTAACCAAAATAAATCAAAAGCCATAAGTTTCGAGAAAATCTATGAAAGTACCTGATGAAAAGGCAGACCTTATAAGGTCACTGCACCAACAACAGGAGAGAGCATGAATGTCTGCATTC